TTCCTCACTTCTTCTGTCTAGTCCTCTTTGACTATGTCCGTGGGTCTCTCTGTGTAAATTTGTCCAGTATTTGAGGAATGCTCTCTGAAGATCTCTTTGCCTATTCAAACTATGCCTGTCTCTTCTTGTCTGTCGTCATGCGCTCGTACGCATCTCGCACTCTCGTATTTCCCTTCTCCTGCTCGGACGCCCGGATCATAGTTCATTCCCGGATATGAATCGCGAGTGTCGATGATCGATTCGCTCATTAGGCACAGTCGAGTTTTTCTCTTGTCTCTCTTCTCTCATGTCGCACTGCCTATGTAAAACCTCGGTATGTCGATATCTCCGCGCGATGTATTGGCTGTAGCGAGCATGCTCTTCGTCTTCTTGTCCTCCTCTCCACCGCGCTCTTCACTTTGTTATTAGTGATTACCAAGTGTTCAGTCGTTCTCTTCATCTTTCTTTAGCGGGCTGGGTTTTGTAGATTGTTCCTTCAGCACCGGGGACTGAGGCTAAGCTAGCACTCGCTAAGGCCTAACGACGGATCGCGCACATTATGTCTGTGTAGCCCGCGCTTAGCGCTAGGCTCCTGCGCTCCTGCGTAATACAATTTAAATTCCCTTTTTGTCTCGTCTCGCTGGCTTCGTTCGTTCTTTGTTGTGTTCGTTCGGTCTTCTTGTTTGGTTCTTCTGTTCGGAGGCCGAGGGTCATCTGTAACCTGCTTAGACTTCACTTAAAGCACGTATCAAACACTTCCATTGTACCTCGTATACTAGATCAAGCCTTTATTTTGTACTATTAACTTTGACAAAAAGAGTTCAATTCTATTTATAAGCATCTCTCTTAATTCTTATCCTTTGACAGCATATGTAAAGTATATTTAACCTTGAACTCACTATTCATTATATAATATCTATTTGATTATAATAATTAATTTAATTGAAATTGAATAATATATAAGTTTTGGAAGGTATTGCTAATCATTATTTAAAATTTTAGTATGAATTAAAAAGGATTTGACCACCAAATATATATTAATATATTAATAATCAGATATCAGAATCGTGACGCAAGTATGTTGTTCCGATCATCCAAAGGTTAGCCAATATTCTATAATTCATTGTAACTATATACTCACTCATAGATTCAATTCAAATTTAACCATCAAGTGTAGAATTATATGATTATTAAAGATACTAAGGAAACTTGTTGGGTTTAAAGTATCATAAATAATTTAATATTGATTGAATTATTCCAAAGAGCTTTAAGAGCGTTTTTTCTTTTAGCTTTTTGACAGAACCTAGGTAGTTTCCTGAACTTTGTCTTTAAGACTAAGCGAGCTTGGCTACAAAATAACCTTCTTATTTGCATACACGTTTTACTGAACTATAATAGTTTACTGATTCTCTTTATACGCTTATCATCGATGTGGTGGGTGTCTGTCTTCTCCTGCTGTATGAGGATTACAGAGCTTTAGTGTTAAGAGTACAATTCGTGTATGACCAATATCTCAGTGAACAAGGTAGCGAAAGTGATCCTATGCTGTGCGACCGTTTCTAACGTGTACGGTGCATTCTGGATACTATTACAGAAAGATAGAATGTCTAGTTCTGCTGGGTGTAACGAGATAGGTCTCTTCTCTGCTTTGGCGAGTGTGTGTCGTTATAGTGATGAAGTGAGTGTAGTTTGAAAGACATATCTGTCGTTCTCACAAAGACTTCGGGGTACTGATTCGTTGTCTTGATACAGCCATCCCTCCTCTTATGACTCCTCATAAATAAAATACGGTCGTCGAGTGTTCCAGTCACTCTCTCTCACGGGAACCACTATCTGTTACTGAAACAGTTCCAACCGTACACAGATTTTCATATCACCGATATCTTGTTCCCTCCGATTTCTAAGTCGATTTTGTATTATTGCGAACTGTTGGTGTCTTTCGGATGGTCTTCGTTTCATGGGCCCACTGGGCCCCACAGCACTGTTGACAGCGCACAGAAGATCCGCTTATGAACACAACGAGACTCATAAAACCATCCTCAGTCATCTGCGTCCAGTACAACTTTTTATTCAAAGAAAACTAATAATGCAATAACCTACGCAGGATAACTGGCCCAGTACCATAGTTACACTAACACCCCAACTGACTGGCCGATAATACATGGATTCTCATATTTAGTGGCGCAGCCGGGCAGTGTGGTGTGTGTGTGTTGGTGTGTTGTGTGGTGCTGTCCGTGTGTGGTGTGTCAGTGTTGTGTGGTGTGATGCATCAGGCGGAGCGTACACAAATCTAACCAGCATGCATTGTGCGCTTTGCGAACTGGACCACAATCCTCAGGTGTCATTAGAAAAACCTACTTTATTATACATCTTATTGTTCTCACTCGCGGGTTTACTACCACAGGCCTTATAAGTCGGTAGCATGTGGGAGCAATCTTCGTGCAGTTGACGTTTCACGTGAACAGTTGAGTTCAATTCAGTTTTCTATTTGGTGGGTATTAGTGGCCAACTTCATAACAGAAGTTATCCTTGGCCCGGACACTTTTCAAATTAGAGCATGTCTAGAGCCGACTCCTTGTATAACATTTACAGAGGAGCCCAACAGTACCACCATGAGCAAGAGCCTTGGAGAGCCAGGCAAGGAAAAATCTGCCTTTAACAGGCAGAAGAACCTAGGACAGAGAGAGAGAGATAGAGAGTCGCGGAAAACGCGGCTGAACGGCTGAATCAAAACTATAAGCCATATCCCGAGGAAATACAAGTAGACATGATGAATCGAAAGCACCTCTCCAATTCGCACATCTACATCGTGGTCTGTCTCGCCGTGGTCGCATCTCGTTCTGGCTCCACATGCTCGCTCCAGCTTCCTGTGCGTCTATGCGGTACAGATACATACCAAAATCTTTTTCTCCCCTGGTTCTCTTTAGTTTCCCCATTCCCATCTCACACGTCTCCTTACCAATATAAGCTCAACTAAAAAGTCCCTTCAATTCGTCACTTATATTGTTATTTTTACTTGCACTTAAACGGCATGTGATACCAGCTTTATTGGTCATCACCTTTTTGCAATATACATTTTCTGATACATTTTTTATCTTTACATTTAACTATATTGCTTTTTTGTACATCATATATGTCCTAGGGTTGTTCTGGTCTGCGCTCCCCTACTGTTGGAATTCGTAAGTTGTCATGCGGCCATTGTGTTGTAGCCATCAGCTTTCACTGTTGCCTTGTCACTGTGTCTCGCCTCGTGTCAATAGCTGCTCCTGCCTACGATCTTGCTAATTTACTCTCTATGCATATGGAGTCAATAAATGTGAATCCGTACCCTTAGTGTCGCAGTACCCTTCGTTAATCCTTATAATTATCCTTTCTAATCATAATATCTACACTTATCTCAATTGTTCGTTTGTGTAATGTAAGTCTTATCTATCTCAGTAGAGAACGTAGAAGAGGACTCGTCCTCACAGCTTCATCAAAGACAAACTGAACAGATGGAAACAGATGATGGAGAGGACTGTGGAGGACCAAATCTAGCAAGGAACTTAGATCCAGATAAACATTTAACACCTGATACTGTTAACAAGGCTTCAGACTTTTGTGAACCTGAACCTGAGACTGATGACTGTGATAAAGACTGGAAGGACCCTGACAGAAAATCATTTCACTGCTCTGTGTGTAGTAAAACATTTAAACATAAGGGAAATCTGAAGATACACATGAGAACTCACACAGGAGATAAACCATTCAGCTGCTCAGTGTGTGATAAAAGCTTTAGTCAAAAATCCGGCCTTGACTACCACTTGAAAACTCACACAGGAGAGAGACCATTTAGTTGCTCAATCTGTGGTAAAACATATAGACACAAAGGAGCTCTAACGTACCACATGGCAACCCACACAGGGGTGAAACCATTCAGCTGCAAAGACTGCGGCAAAAGATTCAGGGGGACTTCACAGCTCAAAATCCATAGGTGTGTTGGTGAGTCAACACAGCCTCACAGAAGCCAACGTGGCAAACGCAAGAAACCACTGAGCTGCTCTGAATGTAATGCAACATTTCCTAACAATTACGTTCTGATGACCCACATTAGAATGCATAAAGGCAAGAAACTGTTTACTTGCACAATTTGTGGTAAAAAACGTCATTTTAGTTCCCATTTAGAGATACACATGAGAACCCACACAGGAGAGAAACCATACAGTTGCTCTGTTTGTGGTAAAAGATTTTCACAAAGAGGAATTATGACACAGCACATGGCAGTCCACTCAGGGGTGAAACCATTCAGCTGCAGTGACTGTGGGAGACGATTCTTTTGGCAGTTTCAGATCAAAAAACACAAGTGTCTTGGTAAGTCTTCACGGCAAAGACAAACTGGCTTTAATGGAAAGGACTGTGGAGCATCCGAACGAGTCAGGAACTTGAATCCAGAGAGACATTTAACACCAGATGCTGAGAAGGAGACCAAGTTGTCTTTTGAAACTGATGACAATGTTGACATTGAGTTTTGGAAAGAGACCAGGAAACATCAGTCAGGTTTCACTTATAGGAGAACAAAAAAAAAACCTGTAAATGATGGATGTAACCCCGGCAAGAAACCATTTAACTGTTCTGATGACATGGCTAAAGTGGAACTAAAGACAAATGACCGTATTAACATAGATTTTTGCAGACAGATCAGGCAACTTCAGTCAGGTCTAAACCATCTGAAAAATGAGGAAGTCTCTATAAGTGATCCATCATTTAACACTGACAAGAAACCATTCAGCTCCTTCACTTGTGATATAAGATCTGAAGACGGTCACACTCTGCAGAGACGCAAGAAATGTCATACGGGAGAGAAAAAATTCAGTTGCTTATTTTGTGAGAAAGAATTTGTGACAGGAGGACATCTGACAAGACACATATCTGTCCACATAGGAGAGAAAATACTCAGTTGCATTGTGTGTGAGAAAGCATTCACTTTGGAGTCAGAGCTCATAAGCCACGAATGTGTTCATCAAAGTCAAACTGTGGAGCAAATGACTGCCAACAAGTCATTCAGCTGCTCTCAGTGTGGTAAAGAATTTGGCCGTAAGCACCATCTGCAGGTACACATGAGAAGTCATGCAGGAGAGAAACAATTTAGTTGCTCAGTTTGTGGTAAAACATTTGCAAAGCGTGAAAATTTAAGTTTTCACATGACGTGTCACACAGGGGAAAAGCCTTTGCACTGTTCAGTTTGTAACACAGGTTTTATTGACAGTGAGTCTTTAATTAAACACATGAGAATCCATACGAGACAAACACAGTTTAGTTGCTCAATTTGTGGTAAAGAATTTGCTTGGAGAAGATATCTGACAAAACATATGGAAGTTCACGCAAAGCAGAAAATCTACAGCTGTAGTGTTTGTGACAGAGGATTTGCTCACATTTATCAGCTCAATTACCATCAGTGTGCTGGTCGTCAGTCGTCTGAGGAAAACAGAGAGTCAGAGCTTCTTGCCGGCAGCTCACATGGACAGATGGAAACAGATGATGGAGAGGACTGTGGAGGACTAGAACCAGTCCGGACATCAGATCCAGATACACATTTAACACCTGATACTTATGACAAAGACTCTTATGAATCTGAGACTGAAGTCAGTGATGATGATTGGAAGGAGAGCGGAGAAGTCTCTCACAATGATACAACATGTAATACTGCTAAGTCTGGTGAAACTTTGTACAACAATCACCTTCTGCAGATCCGCTTAAGAAATCATACAGGAGAGAATTCATTCAGTTGCTTAATATGCGAGGAAAACTTTACAGAAAGAGGAAGTCTGAGTGAACATATGGCGGTCCATAGGGGGGTAAAGCAGGAGGACCCAGAGTGGCACATTAAAGAGGAACAGGAGAAGTCAAGATCAGTCAGGGGGAGGTAGAAAGCAGGGCTTCAAGGGTTCACATTCACTGTTCCCTGTGAAGAGGTGAAGATGGGGATGATGAAGAGAAACCTCAGTCCTCACAGCTTTATCAAAGACTAACTGAAAAGATGGAAACAGAAGCTGATGGAGACACTGATGACAGTGTTGACAGTGACTTTTGGAAGGAGACCCGAGAACGTCCGTCAGGTTTAAACTCTCTGAATAATGATGAAATCTCTCAAAGTGTTACAGGATGCGATCCTGGCAATCAAGTGTTGAGCTGTTCGGATGATAAAGCTTCAGAGTCTCTTGAACCTGAGAGTGATAACAGTACTGACAGTGACTTTTGGAAAGACGACAGGAAACCGCAGGAAAGTAGCAGGAAACCACATGGCTGCTCTGAGTGTGGTAAAAGATTTCGCCACGTTCACCATTTGAAGATCCACATGAAGTTTCATGCAGGAAAGAGAGCAACATTCTTTTGTTCAGTCTGTGGTCTAGAATGTCTTTACAAGTCCCATCTGAAGATACATATGAGAACTCACACAGGAGAGAAACCATTCGGTTGCCCAGTTTGTGGTAAAAAATATGCACATAAGGCAAGTATGCAATCTCACATGGTCATCCACACTGTGGAAAAGCAATACACCTGCAATGCCTGCGACAAAGGCTTTGCTTGGTATACAGAGCTTAAATACCATCAGTGTGTCGGTGAGGCCTCACATGAAACGCCATAGTGGGCCATCACACCGAGATGTATCACTACAAAAACTAGGGGTGTAAGAAAACATTGGAATATTTTATTTTATTATATTGTATCAAATCTCTAAACCTCTGTATTTTAGTTTGTGGTTAAACAGCTGATAGCAGGTAAAACTGTACATGGAGGCTGTGATGGTACATCTCGCTGTTCTGGTATTAAAAAAGTAAACTTTTTCACTCAGATTTCCTGCATATGGTGGTGTGTTCTTTATAGTATGACAGTTTTCCTCAAATTAGATTTTTTAAACATGTAATTGCAATACATCACAACACATTGAATCATGGATACGTATTGTCAGATTCTTGCCAATACACAGCGCTAAGAGAAACCAATGTCTTCCTGTGGTATGGTGTCCACTCATTTGAACCATGTGTCACGTTTTTTCTAGCGATCTCTAGCAGGCTTTACCACTTTAAAACTTCCTTTCTGTTTCAATGCTGTTTACTATGCCGGTAAATAGGTTAGCTAGCTACCTACTTAGCTGTTGGACTGTGAGAGAGCTACAGAGCAGCAGTGTAGTGCGGTTAAAGTAACCTCAGTCATCCTCCTCTTGGAAATGGAGCTGCACTTTACTCATCAAGAGCTTGACGTCTGCTTCAACACCTTTATCGTGTTCATTATATTTGATCGCCTGGTTGTGCACGTTGCCTCACTCCACAGGCGCACCAGCTGTTTTTCCCGATGGTAGTTGTTGTCTTCGGCCCCATAATGGAGAGAAACAAAAGAGATCTGAAATGCACTTCACACACTGAAGAAATGATTCATCTTGTTGTTGACAGCAGTGACAGGGAGTTAAGCTGAAGAGTTTTTACCTTATTGAATTATCTGCCAACTATTATTGTGAAATGTCCAACAATCCAAAACCCAAACAGATTCAGTTTAATGTCAAAATAATCGTTTTTGTTTTAATGACTGAAGCTATTAGTTGATTATCAAAATAGTTGCAGGTAATTTTTATTTGAAGAGATGCTTTCCCATTGCAGAAATAAAATCTTATTCACCCGATCCTGTATACCTCTCATCAGTGCATTTTTTTTTCAATGTTATGTCAAGTATTTATTGCTGTGGTTTATACTTTGACAACGTGGACCTGGTGCTTCTGCAGAATATAATATTAATTATAATAAGACTAAAACTCTTCATTGTTAAAGCCATTCTGTGTCTAACCACTATTATACCACAACATCTGGACGGATGATCTATTAAAAACTGTTTATAATGGACACTGGACAAGTTCATATTTTCAGTGTTATTTTAAATATGAGGTTTTACTTTATTGTGTGATACTGAAAGTTGTAAATTAATTGTGACGAACAAATATTTATTCAACACTGTCTGGAGTATTTATTTGGCAGTCAGCTTAAAAAATCTTTAATTATGGCTTTAGTCAAAAGTGTATATGAAATGTGATTTTTTTTTTAATGGATTCACATTATTCACACTTAAAAAAAAAACTAAAAATATTAATGAAAACTCGAAATCTTTCTTTGAATGTTGCTATTCAGTCTTAAATTTCTATCTACAGAGGGAGCGGGTCCTCTTCGTCCCATGCTGAACTGCCATGTTTCTACAGTAGCCCAGAACGGACAAACCAAACACTGGAGGTAGTTTCTCATCACTAAATCTTTCACACTGGTCCTTGTGGCCATTGACATGAAATAAGAAGGTAAAATAGAATTGAATGTTAAACTTTTACTTTTTATAATTAGCTGAAATGTGAGTTCTTGTTTTTTTTCACTTCTAGCATTTAGTTTGTCTTCCAGCTTTTGTCCTTTAAGGACCTTTGTGGTCTAACAATGAAGCAATAGAAATGTTTGATTTAAATGTAGATTCATTAAGTTGTGTATTTTTTTTCTGGGGGCTGGTTTCAAGAACTAATGTGGGGCCCTTCTTCTCTGAAAATACTATTCTGCATTGAATAGCACTATGTATGTGTAATAGCTGACATAAAAACAGCTTAAACAATTCCCTCAAATTAAATTAAACAACAACAGCAAAGCCATATTTTGTTTAGGAATGAAATGTGTCTGAAACTGCTGGTTGTTAAATACATTATGGGCTCAACATAGAAAGAATCCAAACAATTCTTTTAATTAGAAACCGAATCAATCAGAAGCATCGCCCTTCTCAACAACTTAACAGTACTATTATTAACTTTATTTCAGCTAAAATATGTTAAAAGACTCACCGTTGATTTAGTTTGAGGTATTTCTGTGTACAATTTCACCGCAAACCATCAAAGTGAGAGCTGACAGATGCTGGTTGTCCTCAGACTGGTAAGCAAGTAAGTAAAGCTTTATTTATATAGTACCTTTTTGACACAGATATTCAAAGTGCTTTACCAACAACAAATAAACATAAGGGTATAACTAAACCCAATCAAACAAACATAGGGAGCATGTAAATACAAACATA